GTGGAGACACGCGTGTGTGTTTGCGTGGAGACACGTGTGTGTGCGCGTGGAGACACGTGCGTGTGTGTGTTGTCCTTCCCTCGCACCTCCGATTAGCACGGCTGGCTACGTACGGTGCGAAAGAAGTTAAACATGCACGCGTGTGCGCGCGTAGAGACACATGCGTGTGTGCGATTTGTGCACGTAGACACATGGGTGTGTGTGTGTGTGCGCGCACTGACACGTTTGCGTGTGCGTGTATTTGTGTGGTGCAGTGGTTAGCGCACTGCGCTTAGAAACCGGCGACGCGAGGTCGATTTCTCGTTCACGTCCACCAGCACCGGTGACTCTCATCCGAACCCATCCTGGGTTTCCCCTAGATCGACTCAGCCTCAAATGAGTACCTGGTGCGGTGCGTTGTAAACATCGCCACTGTGGAGACAAAGGCGGTCGGGCGTGGTGCTGGACACCGACCCTCTCGTGTGGCCGTGTAGGCATTCATATATGCTGCTCGCTAACAGCACTTGCCCCAACCGTCTGCTAAGGCTATGCGGGGGGTCTTTATCTTTGTATAATGATGTAGGCGAGGGGGGCATGGTGTCATCGCTGCTGTGCTACTAATCCGGCGACCTGATATCCCATATGGGCCACGGCTGACATCGGGTATCACTCAACACGAATGATATCCGCGACATTTTGTGGAGATGCAGGTCTGAGATCCACCTGTTGTACATGGAAGCTCGGGATCACTCACAACTCCAGCCAGGGTTTCAGATACCCTTGGCCAGTGCGATGTCTTACAATGTGGCGAGATGTTAACGATCTCGCCTGGTATACAGGAGGTCGTGGCTTCAATCCTGATCCTGACGCCTGTATATTTGGAATTTGCGTGTCTCTTTCTCTCTCTCCCTATGGTCGCTTCAATTTTTTCCGGGTCCTCTGGTTTTCCCCTCCACATTTAGAAACGTGCGTTTGGAGTATTGGGCTGCTATAAATTTCCACATGATGATAAGCCACTTCGTTGAGCTATCATGTGTGGCCAGGTCGCTTCTGAAAAAGAGCTATACAGTCGAGCTCAGTGGGCCTTACCTAGTTACGTAAAATAGTTAATAGTTTTAAAGTACGCGTCTGTATATGTGTGATAGGTGTCGTGTTTATGCGTACACACACACATATATACACGTGTGTGTGTATGGCGGGGAGCGGTAGTGTAGTGGTTAGCGCGCTGCGCTCCGAACTGGCGACCGCATTCAATTTCCGCTCACGGCCAACACCTGAACCGATCAAGGGCCTCCTCGAGGTCGACTCAGCCTCAAATGAGTACCTGTTGCGGTGTGTAAACATCACCACTGGGGAGAAAAAAGCGGCCGGGCGTGGTGTTGGCCACCCACCCCCTCGTGTGCCGTGCCGGCCTTCGTAGGTGCTCGCTAACAGCACTTGCCCCAACAGTCTGTCACAGGCTACACGGGGGGTCTCTTGTTTGTTTGAACAGACTTTGTGTACGTGAACGCGCCCACCACGTGTCCCCCCAGCGACGACTCCCCCCTACCACAACACCTGTCTGAGGCGAGGCGTCCGGGAGGAAACGAACCAACCCCCAGCCACCCACGCAACCCCCCAGCCACCCACGCAACCCCCCAGCCACCCACGCAACCGCTCACCGACCCAGCCACCCACGCTCCGTCTCTGGGGCCACAGGTAACGTCACAATTACCCGGCTAATGGAACGCGCTGACCCGGTTAATTGAAGCCGTGTTCACGTCACGAGTCCGAAACAGACTGCGCATTAATTTGCTGTAATTGAAGGAGGTTGTCATGGGGGGGGGCTGGGGGGCGGTGATGGTGGTGGTTGATGGCCGATGCCAGACTCGTGGTGGGGAGTGGCGGTGTGGGTGGTGGGGAGTGGTGGGGAGTGGTGGTGTGGGTGGCGGCGTGGGTGGTGGGGAGGGGCGGTGTGGGTTGTGGGGGAGGGGATGGATGGGGTTGAATGCATCCGAGTGTGACAGGTAAACCCTAGTTTTTTACCGTATTAGAAATAACGCTACATTATTAGTGTCCAGCTACTATGGGTTGTGTGGATAATGTATGAACTTCTTTCGCGCCGTACGTATCCAACTGTGCTAATCGTATGTGTGTGGGGGGGGGGGGGGGGGGGGGGGGAATAAACTCATCACAAAATTAGTTTTCGATTTGGATGATTTAGCATAGCTCCAGTGCCTTCCTAATATGGAAAGTAAGGCAGAGCGTTCCAGATGGCCGAAGAAGCGCATCTGAAAGCATCCAATTACTGCTTCATGGGAGGTAACCAACTATATAAAAAAAAATAAAGAATTTTACCGGCTAAGACCCACTGAGCTATATAGCTCTTTTTAGAAGCGATCTGGTCACACATGATAGCTCAACTAAGTGGCCTTATCATCATCATCATCGTGGAAACTTATAGCAGCAGCCAAACTCTAAACGCGTGATGTTGATTCTAAATGTGGAGGGGAAAACCGGAGGACCCGGATAAAAATCCACCTGACCAGGGAGAGACACTCAAAACTCCCAAATAAACAGCAGGCGTCAGGGTCGGGATCTAACCCACGACCTCCTTTATACCAGGCGAGGTAGGTAACATCTCGCCACCGCGAATACAGGAGTAACCCAGATGAAAACCCTCACGCGGACAAGGTTAATGCAGAACGTTTCCCCACAGACGGGCCTAACGATCCACGGCTGTACTTGCAAACATCTGGCCACCTCGTAGCCCGACGCCCCTGAAACGACAGCCGTGGCATTCCAAGGTCAAAATCCTATCCGAACGCCACTCACCGGGTTCAACGCCTGCGAGCTCGAGGCGAGATTGGTGAACGCGGTCTTCACCGGCCACGTTCAACAAGAGCATCAATCCACATTTGTTCAGTTAGCTCATTTTTTTTCCATCTCCCTCCCTCCCTTTTCCATAGAATCTCACAGGACCGCACCACGTCGCAAACGCGTTGACTCCCTGCCCAACTACTGCTGTGCCTTTTATTCTTCTGCTCATGATCGACTGACCTATCTCTCTCTAAAGATATACACTGTATATAAAATATGCTCTATATCCTTAGTGCATTGAAATACCATGCTATTTAGATCGTATGTAAATCATAATCGCGTTCTTTCGTATTAATAACAGGCTTTTTTTTCGGTAAAGTCACGTTGAAGAGAAACAACAAAATAACAAAATATATATAAAACAATAAAAAATTCTCACGACGTTTCGACCATAACTCAAACGGTCATCATCAGGTGTAAATCAAAATTTTAGGCTTTTTTTTGTTAGATCGCGCAAATATTTACGCAATCTAACTCCAAAAAAATCCTCTGGATATTGGTCGCGAAAGCCTACGTGTTAAAACTGATTAATAACAGATTACATGTGTTTTTTATGTACCCACTCAATCCTAATTGTATTGGGATTACATTGTATATGGGATTCGCTTTGTTTTACTCACGAATGAGGATCCTACGGAACCCTCTAGCCAAATACAGGGTGCTTCAAAGCAAATGTTAACACTTACATGGGACTATCGTTTTTAATGGAGAAATAACGAACACGCTGTAAAATAACCAATTTATGTTAATAGCTTCAAAAAGCCAAAGGGTCTGCACTTGTTCGCCATCGTTGCCAACACGTGCCTGGAATCTTCTTCAGGTGGTCTCCAGAGCCTGGGGGAACATTTCTCGTGGTCTTGTTGCAGATTCTCAAAAGGGGTTAACATTTTTTTCTTAATAAGCACCCTGTAAACCAACAGATATCGTCTTGTAGCCACTCACCCAGTGTGTCTTCGGCCGTCTGAGACAGGTTCGTAGCTTCGCAGATTAAAAACCATCATCACGATCCGTGGGCAGATGAGACCCGGAGGTGTCCGCTGCACATTTCATCATTCGTTTCCACTTTCCACTCGTTCTCAATATGCTCAAGTAGTGCCACATCTTATCTGGCACCGATCTCTTAGATCGTCAAAAAATATATATATAATTTCTAAATCGTGGCCAGGCGCACGCCATCATTGCACTGGAGCAACAACTGCTGCATCGACGGATTAAAATTTACGGACACGTAACACGAAGAGCCGCCATGCGGTGCACGTGGCCTTAACTTTTAAAGTTTTTTGTCTCATTGAAAGACGTTTAAAACGAGCATCGGACAGCGCAAGACGCAGCATAGGTGTGTGTGGTTTTTTTTGTGGAGTGCGTCTCGGAGTACAAACCAAGCAAGAACCCGTGCGAGTGTGTAGAGGGATCCACAGTGAACAGACAGGAGCTCTTGCCCGCATTGCTTAGTTGCGTACCACGTGCTAATAACGAGCTGTTTCTGTGATAGCGGCCACCTCCTATACGCGGGGTCGTCAGAGAACCTTTCAACACACTAAACTATTTATTTTACTAGACTGAGCTGTAGAGCTCATTTTCATAAGCGACCTGGCTATCACAAATGATAGATCAACTTAGTGGCTGATCACGTGGAAGTTTATGGCAGCAGCCAAATACTCTAAAACGCGTTGTCGATTCTAAACGTGGAGAGAAAAAAAAAACGGAGCCGGAGAAAAATCCACGTGACCACGGGGAGAGAGACACGCAAACTCCAAATATGACGACCTTCTGTATACCAGGCGAGGTATATAGCATCTCGCCACCGTGGCAACGTTGAAAAGGCACCCGTAAAAAGGCACCCCAAGTGGTAGCTGCCTTGTGCGGAATGAGGTGTCTCAGGGCCTGGCCTGCAAACGGGCATTTGCCTGCCGGTAGGGGGAGTGGCGTTGTGACTGTCGCCGCTGTGTGTAATCCCAATAGAATAAGCTTGCACGTACATTCTAGAAGCTGGCAATAAAAACTAAATTGAGGAACTTCAGCTGTTGAAAAATTTGCCGACACGCGCAGCGAAACGTCGGAAAGCCGTTCCAAACAACGCGCTGTACCGCACGATCAGAAAACCACGAGGGAGAGCGGTGCGGCAACAACCGTGAACAGACGAATCTCACCCACGCACCGCGCACCGTCGCATCGTTAATTTATTGCAAAATATGAATCTCACATCGCGCGCGCGACAAGCCGGCTAATCGTCAACTTCGTGACAAAATTAATCGCCGGATCGAGACGTTTTGATTCTTTAATTTTTAAAAAATCGGAAATAATGTCCGCTTGATATTTGAGACTGCAAAGCTTCCCCCCATACGATATGGCCCACACGCCAACTCTGCAGTATATTATTCAGTATTTAACTGTGAACACTGTTATTTCATCAATGCTTTATCGTTTGACAACGTATATGGGTTTTGTTTTGCATTTTGAACATTTTGTAACCACATAATACGCGTTTCTTTCTTGAGTTAACCGCGACAGTAACGCAACGCGGGGGAAAAAAAAATTCACCTTTAAATATATACGAAGAACTGTTTACATATATAATATAAAACGATTAAATGCAGGCAGCTTCAATTTGGGAGCGACAGAGCGCCGATTGCGACCAGAGAAGGCAATGGGGGACTCCGTTTGCGGACTTCCTACCGATAAAAAAAAAATATGTACACACTCGTCAGCTGTGCTTCCCTCGGGTTAAAACAAAACGCTGGCAACTCATTTCAGTAGCGAGGCATTTTCACTGCGTCAAAGGGTCGTTCTAAATACTGCCAACGGGAGCGGCACGATTCACCGTTCACGATTTCGCTCGGCCCCGCCGACGCCGGGCAGCATGGGTGTACACACACACGTCCGATCCATCTAATCTGTGGGCGCAGACCCAACTCGTTTGCCAAAAGCATTCACGGGATCAATTGTGTTTATATATATGGCCAATTTGCATGGCACAATACATCACTGCTCAAAGCCCCCTAGGCATTTCATGAGCGGGGTTGTCATTTGATTCAAAGAAACAACTTTTTTTGCATCATATTGTCACCATCCCTGCTGTATTGTAGTCGTGTTCACTCCATTAGTCGAAATGGAATCGATCAATTCTCCTCCACACTGTTCAATGCGTGCATCCTTAACGTTATAATTTATTGGTGATCCACGAATCGAGATTTTGGCACACGCCTAATGGCCAAAAATTCTAAATTGCAATAACCATTCCAAATGGGGTGGGTCATCACATTACTTGACTGGCAACGGACGTTTGTATATTGGTACCACGAAGTGTCTTGCCACCTCAGCTGATAGCGAGGCCTGCTCTTGGCCCACGCACTTCTGTCAACACCCACACCGCTGCCGCTGAGAATGACGACATGATGCATAACTACGCACAACCGCGTACAGCAACAAGCACGGAAGATTTGTAGCCAACAACCCCTACAATGATGCAGCCCGTGGATCCTACAACAGCTGAAGGCATTGGAACTCTTGAATGCTCGTGACGGTCGGTGGCGGTCGACAGGGCAGCCGTACACGAGTTTGACCGATAGGAATCGTCGCTACGGCGTGCCCACGATGAATTGACGGCCGTCTCTTGCTAGGCGTGGGGGGAGGCTCATTCAAACGGACTGACAACTAAAGGAGAGGGGAGGGGGTGGCAGGGCAGGTGGTGGTGGAAAGCGGACCAGTCAAACACCGCGAGCGAGAACAACGCGTTCCACAACTCGGGGAATTCGCCGCACTGGACAGACGGGACCGCATCGAGCGTCAACGCCAAGAAGTGAGCGGAAGGACGACGCCACTGCCTGCATCGCCGCCGACGCCGCCGCAGAGCTGAAAGGGAATGCGGTTGCCAATGTGCTCACCGGAGCGTGCGCAGGCTAAAAGAAAGCGGCACGGCGTGATTCGCAGTGGGATAGGCACAGCAGCCCGCACAGCGCTGTGCATTTATCGGGCACGTCGGGGGAAAGAGGTGAGGGGAAGGAAAAAAAAATTATAAAACTCTACAGGAGCTGCAGTAATTGGGCAGTAATGATCTAACACTGTCTTGCATTCACTTAAAAACACTTCCCCCTCCCCCCCTAACCGTCCCCCCAACCCCACCCCTCTCGAACACAAAATGCCGTCGCACGGCTGATGAACGGTGGTGCGCTATGCGAGCCTTTTGGTCGGACAAATTTCCTCCCTCTGCCGCGCATTTTTTGTTGTTGTTCTCAGCAGTCGGCCGCCATCATCCTGCGCACGGAAGGGCGAGTAAAACCGTGGTGGGTACAACCGTGGGCGGGTACAACCGAGGCGAGGTCGGTGAAACGCGTGGAAGCACTGACGTATTTAAAATACGAGCTACTCTAACAATTGCGTAGATTATCATTTGTCACAAGTGGCTTTACTTTGAACTTAATTTGAAGTTTAAACTCGGGAAATTATAGCGTCACGTTTTTTTTTGTCGGCAGCAAACACTTATAGAGGCAAATTTGTCGAGATCCAGTGGTCATCCCTAATTGGCAACCACCAACGACGACCCCCTCTCCCCCCACCCCACCCCCACAAAGGTACAACCAGCTCATCTGAAAATAGAGAAGGGGCACGGGGGGGGGGAGGGTCAGTGGGTGCCTCCGTATTAGCTACGCGCATCGCGTTGTAACAAATGCCGGATTACGTGCGCGACCGAACGACGCACACAGATAAGAGGAGATCGTTCCTCCCCACCCACCCACCCACTCACCCACCCACCAACCCACCCCTCCTCCCCTCCCTTTGCACTTCTCCCCAGGGGAGACGCGTTGCCCGCAATGCAGCGGGAGGACGGAGAAGCGTTCCCTGTAGCGCGCCCGACTTCGTTCCTGTCGCGTGTCGGCCCTCGGCGGTGTTTCCCGCCCCCTCCCACCCCTGGAAGGCCTCGGGGGGGGTCGCGGCCGTCAGGGCAGAAGAAGAAAGCCCCGGTGATGGTGGTCGTGGTGGCGGTGGGGGGCTGACAGGGAGAGGGAGAGAGAGGGGGGGACTAGAACTCATCGTGCCGCGTCAGGGCCTCGCCAAAGTTGGTCGCTTGGCTTCCCACGAAGAGGTCGTGCTTGTCCAGGATCTCCTCCTTGCTCAGCTTGCCGTCCTGAGCATAGCGCAGCAACAAAGACAAAGATTCCACCCCGATTAGCACAGTTGGCTACGTAAGGCGCATAAGAAGTTTAACATGCATACATACAATACAGGACAAGTGCTGTTAACGAGCACCGACAAAGGCCGGCACGGCACACGAACGGGCGGGTGACCAGCACCGTGCTCGGCAGCCTTCGTCTCCCGAGTGACGATGTTTACACATTGTACCAGGTACTTGTTTAAGGCTGAGTCGGCCTAGGGGAGGCCCATGACGGCTTCAGATATTCATTACCAATGGTCGGCTGCTAGCGGGAATTGGACCTCGGGGTCGCTGGGTTTGTAACCACTGTGCCGCCGCCCATAATAACACCACAGACGCACTCGCCCCCCAACATGGAATTCACACTCGGTTCATACACTACACTTGTAGCACCTAACATGCCACAACATAGTAAAACACATCTCCCATGGCACACGCACAAATCCCACCACCGCTCCCACACACCCCACCGCAGATTGGTACGAGGGGACAAGAGAACGCTTCAACGAACGCTCGTTTGCTCCGATCGGGTTTTCGAGAACCCGGCGGGGGTTGTCAAGGTGACGTGGAGGTGTCACCTTGTCGCTGTCAGACTCGTAGATGAGGTGGCGGGCCTCTGCCTCTGCGTGGTCGTAGTCCGAGGGCAGGATCCAGGCCATTGTCTCCTCCTTGTCCATCTTGCCGTCCTTGTTGGTGTCGCGGAAGTCCGTGAACTGCTGTCGCTCCGTCTTCACCCACTCGGGTTCCTCGCTCTCCCCGGCCTGGTTGTACATGTCCCCTGTGGGAGAGGGCAGAGGTGCGCAGAGGTGGTAAGGTGGTGGTCAACGCTAACATGGTGGATGCAACATTGGGTCAAGTGCTTCCAACAAGACGCTTGTGGTGATGCGGGATTTTGTGGAAGGGTTAGGGTACAGCTTACGAATAGTACTTGACGAAGAAATTTTGAACTCCAAAACACTCCGAACGAGCCTGCTTTCACCCGATCTTGTTTACGTATATATACGTAACAAGACAAAGATCCCCTCTACAACCGTTAACAGACTGGTGCGGCAAGTGCTGTGAAGCGAGCACCTACGGAGGGCGGCACGGCCCACGCGGGGATGGGTGGCCAGCACCACAGACACAGGATTTATATAACATCTGAATTCAATCGAACCTCAAGACGCTGTAGAGAATCAGTGGACATTTCAAAGAGAGGGGTAGTCAGTCATGTCTTAAGCCTGCACCTGGACAGGGCCGAGGAGTCAACAGTAAATGTGTTTCAGTTTCATGGGAAGAGATTAAAAGACAAATAAAAGTTGAAAACAGTTCCTAATCAGTGCTGCTTTAGGTTAATGTAGCTATTGCTGGCAGCATCTTCATTGCCATCCCCATGACATTTTTGTGTTTAGTTTGTTGCCCTTCACCCGCACCTCCGATTAGCACGGCTGGCCTACATACGGTGCGAAATAAGTTCAACATAATACAAATATACATGCGTCACATCATCTTCAATGCACTCGATTTCATCAGCGTTTAGAAGAAAGTTGAGCATGGTTAACTCCGAATAAGACACTCCCTCAGAAAACCTTTGGCTGTGAGGTGGTCAAGAGATGGCTCACAGCTACGTATTGAATCCATAGCTGTGAAGCATTCAGTGCATACCCCAAAAGTGTGTGCGTGGGGTTATTATTGTTCCCCCCACGCACACTCGATGCGCAGCGATCTATTTCTATAACAAAGTTTTAGGTTTTTTTCGGGGTTAGATGGCATAAACATGCGTTGCTAAACCCGTCATCACCCGACACGGCCAATTAGCGAGGAGTGTTAAGTAAACCAAAACGTGCCGATTAGTTACTAGTTCGGCGCACGTGTGTGTTGGAGATTGAACCCACAGCATTTACAATTCGAGTTGTGTGCCGCTCTGGTGGCGGTTACGCGATCTAACCCGAAACAAAAACACTTTATTGTGGACAATATTGGTCGCGGAAGCCTACGTGATAAACCGATCAATGTCTTTATGAACCACCTGCACACAAAGTCATGTTTACAACAGGATTCTGAGGCCTTCCCGGTATTGCCAACATCCCTCCCCCCAAGGTGCCTTTCAAAGGCCGGTGCTTTTCCGAGCTAGTCCCAGGGGGCTTACCGATGTACTCGTTCAGATCAATGAAGCCATCTCCGTTCTTGTCAATGTCTTCCATGGTTTCCTGAAAGAGATGGAAATGTGCCTGCTTGAGAACAAAAGACGATCAACAACAAAACACACGAACCAGAGGGCGCAGCCCGTCAGGAATTTCCACCGCAGGCATTTCCTGCAAAGGATTGCCACGAGGCAATTTGCCAAACATAGCACGGCTTAATTTCACGCCTCCTTCCCACCTGATAGTTGCTGCTGCTAGTCAGCAGGGTTTAATAAACAGAGTCTAACACAAAGGCTTTCGCGACCAATATCATCCATAATACAGGTTTTGGCTCTCCAACACACCGGCGTGCTGTACTAGTAACGAATTGGCATGTTCTGTTTACGTGACAAAACCTTATTAATTGCCTGTATCGGGTGGTGGTGAGTTTAACGATACATATTTACGTGATCTAACCCAAAAAACAACCTGTATTATGTTTAATAAACTGCTCCGCATCGTAGTTGGCAACGTTCTAGATCACAGATGAAGAATGGATGCCTTTAACGTTCTTGGCAGGCAAACACATGTACACACCCGTTATCAACACGACTGTCATTTGCCCATAAAAGGCAGTGTTTTTTCAGTAAGTTATTCGTGCCAGGACGGATTCACTTTGAGGCCACGTGAAGTGTGGAGGCACGGGACCGACCCAGGTGTCATGGGTTAAATGACCGAGACGATGAGCAGACACCACCTGCGAGGCCGCCCAATGTGCTGCATTGCCGAGTTTGAACCGGCATGTCTCGAGCGTTGCTCCTCTGCCTGGAGTTGTTTCCGGAAGGCCTCTCCACCTGCCCAGTGGCGCCCTTCAAGAGGCTCGCCCGTACCTTGTTCATCACCCATACAAGATCCCACCAGATAAACGAAGACAAAAACCCCCTATGTAACCTTAAGACTATTGGGGAAAGTGCTGTTAGCGAGCACCTATGAAGGCCAGAGCGGCATACGAGGGAGTGAGTGCCCAGCATCACGTCCAGCCACCTTTGTCTCCCTAGCGGCGACGTTTACACACCGCACCAGGAACTCATTTTGAGGCCGAATCGACCCAAGGAAGGCCCAGGACCGGTTCAGATAATCGTCACCAGTGTTGGTGGCCGCGAGCGGGACTCGAACCCGGGCCGCCGGATTCGTAGGCGCAGCGCGCTAACCGCACACACGTACACGCACACACACGTGGGCACGAGCCCAGACGTACGGTGACGATGATGTCCTTCATATGCTCAAACTCCTCGGGATGCAGGAAGGCGGTGAACTCCTCCTTGGAGGCTTGCCCGTCGCCGTCCACGTCGGCCGCCTTGAACCTGCGCTCGTCGCGCCCCAGCATCTGCTTGTAGTTGAAGCCGTCCTCCTCGCCGCCCTGTGCCTCCTCTGGTGTCACGCACGCGACGGCAACGGCGGAGAGAATCACCGGTGCCGACTAAAAGCACTCCATTCAGGATTACGCGCAGCAATGTGCGTACGACCCGGCCTCAGATGAGTACCTGGCGGCGAGGTGTGTAAACATCGCCACTGGGAGAGACAAAGGCGGACGGGCATGGCGCTGGGCACTCACCCCCCCCCGTGCCGGCCTGTATAGGTCCTGCTCGCTAACAGCACTTGCTCCAACAGTCTGTTAAGGCTAAACGGGGGTTCTTTGTATGTATACGTAGCCAAACCACGCTCATGGGAAGTGTGGGGGGGGGGGGAAGGACAAACTAAACACAAAATGCAATTCTAAAGAAACCAGTTTTCAATCTGGATTTAAAAGTGCATAGCTCCAGTGGCTTACCAATAAAATCGGCGGCTTCCAAATAAAAGCGATCATCGGCCCCTAACTGGCAGACTAATGCCCACTTGCAGGCCAGTCTCGAGTCACCTTGTTCCGCACAGGGACAGATTCCCCTGGGGGGTGGGCCCTTCGAACTTTGAGATGAGATGTGACGGCGAGGTGCTTTGAGTTGCCAAGGCATTTAAGCGCCACAAGCGGAAAGATTAAGATCATAATATAAAGGGGGGGGGGGGGGGTAAAAGAATGGAAACTGCCGTGGTATGCGTGGGCACGTCAAAATAATGCCATCTAACTAGACTTTAGTAAACGCAATGACAATGACAGTTGCTGGCAACAAAGTCAGAAGGAAGTCCACGGAAAAGGTGAACCTGAAGGCATTGTTCTGAAGACACTGGGAAAAAGAGGTTGTGACGTGGACGCAATACTTCTTCTGTCGTATGGCTGCTGATGTCGACGCAGAGCAACAGCTACAATTTCCCATTCAGGTGGTCAAGCCGGAAAACTGCGTCAGCAGGTGCACTGTCGCATAGGGGATACAAACCGATATTTTACATTTTCAGAGCTGGAATTTTGCCATAATTAAATAGCAGAATCAAGATTAACGCGATTTTTTCTTTAGTTATCAGTCTTTGGTTACGTTACACAGCCGAGAGAGTTCCGGATTAACATTTTCTTTCTCTAAACGCACGACAGTAGAATATAATTGCAGCTCGAAAAATAAAAACCCCACAGCTCTCCACATTCCTCAGCGCAACGCTAACGCTGTGTGCCAGAAGCTAAAACATCCCGCGCGATGGGTGGAAACGCCAAGCCTCTTCCATCCAACCACCCCGCCACCTCTCCAGCGACTACATTTACATTTATAAAGGCACAGGACCAACACACATGACTCACGGTAGGATATCTTCCAGCACAGACTCCCCCCACCCGACCACCTCTCTGACAAAATCACAATGGCTATTGCTCAGTCTCCCTCAACATCCTGAAATAAATCATCTTTAGAAAACCACGGAACAGACTCATTGTGGACAACTCGACTAAACCAGATGTAGGAATGGTTTTGTTTTGTTAACACGAAATCTTCTCAATTTTAAAAAAATCGCTTGCGCAACACAGCGACTGCCCCGCTCGCATACACGATGTCCCTTTAATTAACAACAGCCTCCGCAGGGCCTTCTGTGCGCGTGTGAAGTAAACATCCTTCTTAATTTATCCAGATAGGCAAGTGATGAGTTGATGGGGGAGGGAGGGGGGGAGCTGAAATGTTGAATAAAGAATGAGGTGCTCAAGCCAAACCAATAACAAAAACATCTCTGTAGAAGACACCTCTATCGGGAGTCCGGTTAAGACAGAGGAAACAAACAAACGCGATAAGCGAGAGTACGCCGACGTGTCAGGAGGGTCTAACTTAAAGGCTCAGAGAGGGGCGAGTCAACCGAGCCAGTGGCACAACTGAGATTCGGGGTTCGAAACCCAGTTCCAAACGCCCTTCGTAAAAAAAAAAAAACATTCCCTTAAGTTTCAGCGAGTGTCGATGATTTCGGCCCCAATCCCCCAATAACTGCACGAAAAAGATATCACGGTTGGGAATTAACGACAATCTATTCCACAAGCGAGCAGGTAGTGCAGCGGTGACAAGGCAGGTAACAATGGATGGATTCAAATAAATTCTTCCTCCACTGACGACGATGCACGCATCTCAATATGCGTGTAAGAAGGCATTAATTTTCAATTCATATTACGTGGCGGTTTATTATTTCACGTCTAAAACCCTACAGCCGCCGAATATCCCACACGCACCACAGACGGCAACAACAGAATCCATTCTTAAATCCAATCACTGCCCCACAATCGTGACAATTCACGATACTGTGGTGGTGGGCAAATCAATGACACGCCTAGTGACGGCTAATGTTTCGGTTGACCATTGCACAATAGCGCGCGCATGCATGCCGCCCCTGCCCCAATGCCACAAGGACAGACCGTCCGAATGTAACGACCCAACGCGTGTCAAAGCACTTAACCGTTTCGCCAAATGCAGCGAGGAATTTTGGCCACGTACTAATCACAGTGCAGCCGCTGGAGGACAATTATCTTTTACACAAAAGCGGGAGATACTTAAATTAGATAGCTTGGAATAACCGACGCCGCAAAACGATTTTTAATTAATGCTGCTCAGAGATTCGCAATTTCAGCCTAACACGCATACTAACGAGCAAGTTCATGAATCGCTTTGTGCGTAGCAAGGATAGCGGAGCACACACTCTGACCACCTAGGTACGAACCAAACAAACAAACTGCGTTTGGCAGTGGGTGCACAAAGCACACGCAACAAAAATAACTATTTTTCCTTTTAAGGCCGTGGTCTTGACAAATGTGTTGATTTATTTGTTAGCTGAGCAAGTACAAACCATAGGACTAACAGAAATTAAAACCAAAAATCTCAAGAGAACTGCTTTGGAATTTGTTTCAGGAGAGGCTGAAGAGTGCGGCAATCGTGGTGGTGACAGCGGTGGCTGTAGCGGCAGGAACACCTGTCGTCTGCTTTCTGCCGTCAATGCATTCCTTCTGAGACCGGACCGACAACTTGACGTGCAAGCGTGATTGGCGCTATAACCGGCACTGACCGGGGCCCCGAAAGCAGGTGGCATTGCGAGCAGCAAGCAAGCCAGCAAGCTGGGACTTGTGTGTTTAACACGTACGCTTTCACAACCGAAACCGGGCAGGCTTCTTCAACAATTCTGGAAAATCGCCTGAAGCTGGTTGCAATCACCAGAGAAACGTCCTGCTCAAGTTGTAAATGTTGTGGGTTTACTCACCAACACACCGGTATGCTGGAGTCGTAACCAATTGGCGCATTTTGTTTTCCGTGACAAACCTGTGTTGGGTGGTGGCGGGTTTAACGACATTGATATTTGCACGACCTCACCCAAAAAACCTTCATCGTGGAGACATGCATAACCGTCAGCGGCAAGGGCGCTCAGAAATTCAACAAAATGCAAAATAGGTCATCGGTGGAGGCCCGAGAGGTATTTTTAAACACGAGCCAAACATAGCGCACGACGCGCAACAACGAGGCGAGCGATGTTTCCGACCCCTCTCCCCACCACCTACTGGATGAATTGTGGCCACTCAAGAGTAACAGTTTCCCATCAATTCTTCTGTTGTTGGACATTCCAGCGCAAGTGGATTCTAAATTAGTTGGCGTGCTGCGGTTTCTTGGAAAGTAACATTCATTGTTGCGATTTACCGATCAAAATTGAGTCTTAGGTTCGTGATTTATCGGAGGCTGAGGGGGTGAGCTGAAAGAATGTGGTGGAACGAAATACGAGGTCGGTGGATGTGGCTTGGGAATAGGCACGGAACAGAAATACACAAACAAAGCAGATCTGAGCAGCTGACCCCCATGCAACGAGAACTTTTGGCTTCGAAGCAAACGATGCCAAGCGCTGGTTACGAGTTAGTGAGCGATGGAGCATGTGAGTGTTAACTCCCTCGTCTGGTGTACAGGAGGTCGTGGGATCAATCCAGACCCTGACATGTATATTCCTAGTTTTCACGTTCTCCCCATGGTCGTGTGGATTTTTACCCTGGGTCCTCCGATTTTTCCCTCCAAGTTTAGAATCAACGTGCGTTTAAAGGATTTGGCTGTTATAAATTCCCACATAAGCCACTTCGTTGAGCTTTCATTTGTGGCAAGGTCGCTTCTGAAAAACAGCTATATAGTGGGTAAACTAAAATGAGCTTAGGTTTACTTTAGATTGAGCCAGTGCGTGCGTGAGCAACTGAGTGAGCAAACGAGCAAGCAACTGCTGAATGCGTGCGTGTAAGCAACCGTTGAATGCGTGCGTGTAAGCAACCGTGCGACTGAAGATCTGCATAAGTGAGCGACCGAGCCAGCAATTGCTGAATGCGTGCGTGAGCAACCGAGTGACTGAATGCATGCGTGAGTGAGCGACTGAGTGAGCGGGCGACTGCTGAATGCGTGCGTGAGCGACCCAGCGACTGAATTCGGGCCTGAGTGAGCGAGTCAACGAATGGGACCGCGACTGAGCGCTCGAGGGAGCGGTGCGAGCGCCGCACCGGCGAGGAAACCGTAGGTGGCGTTGCGGTACTCCTCCCACGACACGGAGCCGTCGCCGTCGATGTCGTGGCCCGTCCACTGGCGGTCGACATCCTCGTACACCCAGCGCCGCTGCGTGTGCTTGATCCACATCGTCATCTCGTCCTGCGTCACCAGCCCATCGCCGTCGCTGTCGATCTTCTCCACTATTTTCCTACGGGAGGGCGGGGCAAAGGGAACAACCCGGGTGTTAAACCGTGCATACGCATGAGATTTGATAGAAAGCTTTCAAATGTGTTTGCTCTCCGGGGCTGTTTCACCCAGCGATAACAGCGATTGGTTCTCAAAGCAGCACAACGAGATGACGTCACGTGGAGCGTGCGGTCGTGCGATGACGTCACGTGTAAGTGACGTACTCTCCTTGTCTGCATTGTTTATCGTAGTCAAGTTTTGGGCAACCCTTTGGTCAATTGGACAAATTTTCTCTGGGGTAAATCCCAAATGGCAACAACTTTGCAACGCAATTTCCTTCATAATGGATGAACCTTGAGAGTTGCCGTGCCCTCACTACAGACACACGGGTGGAACCTAAGAAGGTGTTCACCTCCGCCATGCATACGCACAGAATGAGGGCCTCCCCCACGCCAATGTGGGTCGTGGAGGTTATTCGACCATACTTCACCATGCTGGTCAGTGCAGATTGGCGAATGCAGGGAACATGGATGCAGGAGCATAGAACAGCACAGGTTTGCTGCAGTGCCCTTCTGCTGCTCCACTGCCTTATGAAAACCTGTATATGTGCATGTTGGTCACCCGTTCAAGCACTATCCAGGCTCCATCCTGCTTAGCTTGAGACCCGAAGCTATTGGGGTACATTTATGGTGATTTGGTCATAGGCGCATTATTCATAGCAGGAGGAAAATATGGTTGCGTCAGCTGTCACACAACGGCCAAAAAGAACTCTGCTAATGGGAGCTGTGACGAGTGAAACGCCCAGCGCTGAACATCAAAGGAGGCGCTGATATGACAGCTCCAAAGAGTGAAGCCGACTGCACTCAGCGGCTTTTTTGCACACACGGCAGTTTATACAATACGCAAATTTATATAACGACTAAACACGGCTACATCTCAAGTCGTAGGTGTAGGATGAAACGGAGGTCTTGAGCCCAGGTTCTTGAACATGGGAAGTCAACAGCACGAACGATGGAGAATAAGCAATCTCGAGCTTCGGTCGAAAGCCTTGGTTGCTGGAGCACAGCGAGATGAGAGGCGGCGAGCATTGGGAGTGCGTAGAGGGGAAGCAGGGTGAGAGGGCAGGGGCAAAGTCCGCACAGTACGGCTCTCATGACCATCACACACCGGCAAAAATAAACTATCTACTACTTGTTCAAGTGCGCTGCAAGTTGAAATGTTTTAAGAAATACATTGCTGCAACCGGGTGTTACAATAACGGTTTAGCTACGTTGAGGGTTTCTTCTCAGCTTTGTAAAAAAATGGCTTGTTGCAGGTAGGACGAGTCTAAACGAACAAACCTCGTCGATGACAGCTCTTCTCTGTCAAGTTCACATGTTTAGAGTGAACCAGAAAAAGTGGCGCCGTGATGCCTAGCATTTTCCCGAACAGGGCAAATCTTCGGTCCTCACGGAATATCGTTTCTCTTTTCCAAAAAACTAATTCTCCCAATTATATTCCCACCCGTGCCATCGGCGTCGCGTTCTTACGAGATGCACACGCTTCCAGATGAAGCTCTTGCATTAAGCGAGTGTAAATATCACGTCCCGCCAGAAACGGGCCCCGGAAGATGCCTTGATAGAATACTTCAGTTTTGATTTAAAGCTTTCGTGACTGCAGGGATTCATATTCTTGGTTACCGAAAGAACCAAGAATAAGAATACTTCAGGTTCGTGTTTTTTTTTACATTAGGTAACAGGCACGTAACCGAGCATTGATTCAGCAATTAAAATCGATTCTTATACTCACGATAAGTGCCTCCAATTGTGCACGTGAGAATAAAATATTGGATCTGTATTTAGAGGGTAAAAGTAATTTATGTAGCTACCAGAATCGCTATATTTACCAATGTCAATCAATTGAGGATTGAAGACCTCCCCGTGCCATGTTGGACGTAGGGGTTTTTTCACCACAAAGTGTAAAAAAAACTACGATGACATTACACGTAATGGTATCATCACGTTTAATGCGAAGGATAACCTTTTTAGTGCTGTTTATTTATCACCATGTTACGGGACAATTTTGTATCAACATAACCTTATCCCAAAATTTCTTAAATTTATGGGCCATCTTTATGAGAGATATGGCCAACATACATACAGACAGATGTTGTATGTATGCTAAGCTTAGTCTGAAACATGAATAATATCCCCGAATCTAACCGCAACCCTCTCTAATCGTGACTATTAATAAAACATCATGCAGGGATGGCTAATAAATCGTTCCAGGTCACGCATTACCTCCCTGTGTCACCTCAAGAGAGGCACGCGGTTTCTCAATGCCGGAGTTAGCAGCTGCTACTTCTAGCTCAAGTGGCATCTCTTCTCTCTCTGGCTCCCACACGAGCCTCGACTGACTCACCCGAGGCGCTCCTTGCTCTCCTCGGGCGAGAGCTGATCGAAGGTTTTGGCCGTCTCGGCACCCAGGAAGGCCTCATGGTCGTAGTCGAAGCTCTGCTCGTCGTCGTGCTTCTTCTCGCTGAGCGGCTCGTCAGGGTGCACGCGGTTCTTCTTCTCTGCCGTGGGCTTGGCCAGCGCCAGCCACGCGCACAGCGCCACAAACGCCACCTTCTGCCAACCGCACGCCATGGCTCGCCGATTTGCCTACCCTGCTACCGGAAATCCTGGTACAAAAAAAAAAGCACAACAAAAAATGTATCATTGTGTGTCTATCTTTGAGATAAGGAGATGACACCGAAATGACTTCAAAAGCATACTTTGTGAAGTCACCTTCTAGGGTTGTTGTCGGATACAAAGTAGTGTGATTGTTGTTGCAAGAGTTCCGAATGGATATGTCTTTGTCTCTTATGCCAATAACATCATTGGAAATAATTTCGGTGGAAAAAAATTCAGACTTTTTAAAAAATAAACTTTCACAAACAAAACACAGATATGTTTTTCCACCCAGTCGTTATGACAGTTGTGCTTTCAGGATTTTGTCATGAGACCATTAACTCACTACACTTGTGAACCTGGGTTAATCAGGCAGCTTTCCAGGTTTGGAGCCAAGATATCAGAAGTGCCAGCTCAGCACTCTGACTTTTGACCCACTTGGCCTCATCTCATAGCTGCAACTTTTATTACTTGGTAGTTTTAAAGGCTTCTGCTTGCCCCGTTGAAAATGTTTTACATTCTTCACAGCTGTACTTGACATTTTTTTAAACTTAGTTTTGTTTAGTGTAACTAATGCTTTGGGGATGAAATGTACCAGGTTTTATTTCATTATTCAATTATTAAGTTTTTAATTTGCCGAGTAAAAACTTTCAGGCTACATTTTATCTTAGCTCTTAAAACTTGATGCTGAACTCGTATATGCTAGTCCCATCAGCAGTGGGAGTCACCCACACTTGATTCATTTCAGTAATTGCCATGGGATACCGGTAATTTTAAAGTTTGAATAAATCACAATACAGGTTTTAAACTCTCTACAACCACAGGTTTAGTATTACAAGAATTATAAAGGTGGCCAGGAGATGACTGCTAAGCAATGCATTCTTAAAGCCATCTGTGAAGATTTCAACATTGCTCACTTGTATGTTTGGTGGATGTTTTACAGGTTCTCCCACATGAAGCCAATTACTCATTCACGGTAGGAGCCAATCATCCTAATGCAAGACCCTTCTGCCTTAATCAATATTCTCAAGACTCAGTGAGGGATTCCTGGGTTAAGGACAAATATATTTTTCACATTCGTGGCTTGCACCCCTTAACCTGACACTTAAATTTGCTGAGCCCAAAAAAAAGCCAAGTTGCCAACGGTGGCTCAAGTCACGAGTGGTCAGGCGTAGCTAATCGGCCATTAGTGGCAGGACATTTCTCAACGGTGGAAAGATTGCCGTGCTGACGAGAACTCAAATCTTACGAAAATCCGCTCACCGCAGCTCTTTCACAAATCCAGAAAGAGCACGGCCCAAGTTCCCTTCTAGTCCGGGGGGCACATCAACACACACTATCGGTTGGAATACTAACCTTATAAAGTACCCACTTAACCCAAAATCTGTTAACCCGGGATATCAAACGTGCAACAGCTAATTAGAGTTTTTTAGGAGATGTTAACTGTTAACTACTTCGCCTGGTAAACGGGAGGTCGTAGGCTCGATCCCGACCCTGACGCCCGCTCTATATTTGGAGTTGGCGTGTTCTCGCTGTGGTCACGCCCTCCGTTTCCCCCCCCCCCCTCCACATTTTGAATCGACATACGTTTTAGAATATTTGGCTGCTATACATTTCCACATGATGATGAGCCACTTCGTTGAGCTTTCATTTGTGGCCAGGTCGCTTCTGAAAAAGAGCTACATAGCTCAGTGGGCGTTACCTGGTTAAATAAAAACTAGTTTTAGTGCTAGAGAGTTTGGAGTTGGGTGGCGATAAGGTGATGGGGGTCTTGGAATCAATGGCATTGGCCATTGTTATGACTGTTTGACTTACATTTAAACTCTTTTAACATGAAACGCAGTCAATCCCAAAAACATGCGACTTCCAACTTTGAGTACCAAACGATCAAACCACAAACCAACTAAGCCTTTGTAATGGAATGTACTCCTACCTCTCAAATCAATTACCCCCCATCCCTGACCTATTAAACCACAACCCATGCCCTTACAACACCTAAAACAACCCGTATCGCTGATCAAACCCTTTATAACCCAAGCCTGACACAACTCAACCCACCATGACCTGACATTTTTCAAAACACTCGACAAATAACCCCAATTATCTCTAACCTCTGACCCAATCGAGCACAACTGCTGACCCCCAAACCCTGTCGTTAACATCCAACAACAACAAAATCCTGAAACTCCGCTCCTTCTTATCGCCATTACCAGGCCGGGGCCCGGATAGCGCCCGCCGCATCTCCCGGTATGTGCGTGTCGATACTCACGCGACCGCGTCAACCCTCAAAAAAACACACAACCAAGTCGGACAGCCCGCCTGCGAGACTAACAACAAAGAGACTAACACGGCGTTGGCCATATTTTTTTGTAAAAATAAAACATCGCCTTAACCAGACAGACTCGTTACATTAAGACGAGATACCGGTGTCGGAGGTCAGAGGTCACCCGAACACAGACACACAGAAGATGCAGGCATTACATCCAACAACTCGTCAGCCAGGTCCGCAGCAACAACAGCAACAACGACGACGACGCTGGAAAGTTTAAGCGCGATTTAATCTTACGCGATTATAGTGAAGACGAAGCTGCCGCTGTTGGTGCTGGAGGTGCTGATGGAGGTGGTGGGAGCCGCTACAGCGCCGCCCGTTACCTCAACTCCACCCACCCCGCCTCACACCCGCCAATCACACGACGCGAAGCTCGCGGTGCCGTCGCCCCGAGCGACAGGGCCGCGCCTCTCGATTGGACGCTGGGGGCTCCGCGAAGGAGGTTCGCGGGTGGGGTGGGGCGGGGCGCGCGCCGCTTCCGATTGGGGAGAGCCCCCCCCCCCGCCACGTGGCGGTTTCCGTCCCAGACGGCGCGACTTGATTGGTCGGCATCGGTCACGCGGGCGCCCCCCCGCGGGAGAAGAGGGGGGGGGGTCCAGCTGACCAATGAGTGGGCGGCAGCGCGTGCCTTGCGCCGGTTGGTCGAGACGCGTTTTCCCGCCAACGTGGCAGACCGAGGGAGGGAGGGAGGGCGGTAACGGGGGAGGGGGTTCAATAATTGAGTTCAATTGCAATTCCCTTGCGATGTTTGTCTAATATTAAACATTGCTCTCCCTTCACGATTATAAACGGTGGACTTTTACCTAAAATTCCCGAATATGATAGCATTCACTGGAGATTAATTGTTTACCTCATTATGATGGTTATGATGACGACGTTTAAGTGACATTTCTCTCATGATCACAAGCAAAAGGTGTTCTTTACGTGACACTCCCTTTTCAGAATGGATTTTAACTTGAGATGTCCTTCCTCATCAGCAATGCATTCTAGCTGACACTTCGCTCATAAATGAGAGTCTAAATAAACATCCCGAATCAATGTTTTCCCATTTACCTGGCTTACCTTACATTCACTATTAACGCTAATAAATATTTGGACTATTGGCATATCGTCTTTCATCTTTAATGATGTGCCTTATTGTATGCAAGTTTACCTCTGGCAAAGGACGTGGTAACTGTGCCTTTATTTGTAAAGTACATTAGAGTTCCCCTTTAGCATAAACACTGCAGTGCACTTTAAGCATTTACCCTCCCCTAATTCTGAATTCCGTGTCACGATTTGCCGTTATTCAGTAGCATTACATAAACTTACAACATGAAATAGCATGATTATAATGTGGCCTGGGGGTGTGGTGGGTTGGTTTCTGGGCTCGCGGTTCCCGCCAAATTTCGAGGTGACGCGCGGCGCGGGCATTTAAAGCGATGGAGGGCGTGAAGCGGACAAACGTAACTCAGTCGTTGATTTAATTACATTTTCTTTAAAATACATAATCTTTTCCTGCCGTTCACGACCTACGTTAACTGCTTCACTTCAGCGCAGCTGTGTAAAATATCTTAAGGGAAATTATGCACATGCAACATAATTGCGGTGCTGTGAATGCGGTACAACGAGCTGATGCTATTTTCCTGAACGTTGCAAAATAATTTTAAATCAGATGACTGTGAGGTTTTTTTGTTCGTTGCATTTTAAGTTATTATTAACTCCGGTCTTTATGAGATAAAAAAAAACAAAGTTTTAATCGTTCAGGGTGGCGAATGAATAATGAAGCAGTGATTTAATTGCATTCTTAGCCACAGTCAACAGTACAATACTTGATCGCAATTTTAGTAAATTATCTCAAAGATTTTTTTTACCGTCCCGTTATCCTAAATAACACAAAGCGGCTGCATTTTATGACAATAAAACGGAAGTATAAGTTAGAGATGTCAGTGCTCCCTTTCCCTCATCTATGAGGGCATTCTTGTATCGTTATTAATTACTGTACCGTATTAAATTCCACTTGGCAGGAACAATTGTACTGTATGTTGAACTTCTTTCGCACCGTAACAGTTGCTGGATCTGGCACGAGGGAAGATATTGTGCGAGTTGTGATTGCCTCAGTTTCATTGACCGTGATGACCTCTTGACCTTTGCTTTCCCCTATTTAAATATTTTGCATAATTGAGGTAAATTTTGCAAACTAAGCCATTCCTATCGTGAGCCAAAGATTATTTGGAATTAAACAATTGTTTGTCTTGGTCGTTTGTATCGCGTGAGCATGACTGAACAGAAAGTTTAAACTTATACAGAGCATTTTTCGATTTAAAGCTTTCGTGACTGCAAGGATTCATCTTTGGTTCTTTCGGTAAAGTCACGTAGAATGAGAATAAAATAAATAAAATAAGACAATAAAATTCTCACAACGTTTCGTGAGAATCATTGGAGCACTGTCGTCTCGACAGTTCTGTTCTTTCACCTGATGAAGGCTACTTGTGTTGTGGCCGAAACGTCGTGAGAATTTTATTGTCTTATTTTATTATTTTATTCTCATTCTAAGTGACTGTGCCGAAAGAACCAAAGAAGATTATACAGAGCATTTTAAAGGCGCTGAAAAGCGTGCAAAGAGATATGCAGAGATACTTTGAGCGACACTGAGAGTCAGAAATGAGAACACATTGATCAGACATATTTACTGTTCAAGGAGAGTCAGTGGAATTGAGCAGGACACGTTGCCGAGAAGGCATGTCGACCGATGGATGAGACTGGCAACAGAATGGCAGTCAAAGGAGCAAACGTGACAAACCATTTCACTCCTTTCGTACACATACGTGCCTTCACCATGAGGCATCTGAGCTGACTATGGGGGCGACCGTCACGGAGATGGAGTTATGATTTCAGTTCATGTGCAGGAGCAACATCGGTTGTCGCAACGCCGGATCGCGAGTGATGACAGTGGCACGTGGCAGTGGATTGACGAAAATCTGCCGCCGATGATGTGGATAACTTACACGACGCCGATGCGTTTCCCTTTTCGTGTGCTACGCCTTTAAACAGGCGGGGAACAAGGTGACCTGTGCGCTGAACGGAGAGTTCAGAAGGAGCCGGAGCAGTAGCCGCTTGCAGGAAAAGAGAAATGCCCTGGCTGAAGCTAATCTTGGCCCACAACTCAGCCCCATTGGAACCCTGTGCATTCTACCCACGGAAATGCTGCACAAAGTCCTCAGCTACCTACAAGGTAAAACTGTGATATCCTCTTCATTTGTCACTACACGATCATCTGTGGAGTGCATTATTTGGAGACAAATTTCCTTCCTATTATCTGCAGGTAAGGGTCACCTGGAACTGACCTTCCAGAAGCATTTAAAAAAATGTCCAAGCCTTGCCTATGATCAAACCACGTGGAACGCCCCCGCAAGCTAAGCAGGGTTTAAAGCCTGGGTAGTTCTTGGATGGGTGACCACTATCCTTGCAACCAGGTGTCGTAGACTGCTGCGAGGCTGCGTGGGAAGCAGTGCAGTACAATACTTTGTTGTACTGTGATTCTATGTTGCCATGCCTGTGACCTCTGCCGTCATCGACACACACTGACCAGTCTCGTAAAGTATGGTCAAATAACCCTCATGACCAACACGGCATGGGGGGAGGCCCTCATCCAGCAGTGGATTCACTAAGGGCTGTAAATGTGTTGTGTCGTGGCAACTTCATTTGTAAAGTCGCTTTGAATTGATGGCTACATTCATCTCCATAATACAGTTGTTATTATTGATGATATTGGTCGCGAATGCCTACGTGTTAAACGACATTCATATCTTTTGATTTAAAGCTTTCGTGATTGCAGGGATTCATATTCTTGGTTCTTTCGGTAAAGTCACGTAGAAGGGAAACAATAAAATACCTGATGATGATTGCAATCATGATTGCAATCATCATCACACCTGATGATGATTGCTTGTGTTGCAGTCGAAACGTCGTGAGAATTTTATTGTTTTATATTTTTATTATTTTATTGTTTCCCTTCTATGTGACTTTACCGAAAGAACCAAGAATATACATTCATATCATTATCCAAGCCTGTATATGAATAACAGAGGTGGCTCAGAATATTTATTTAATTTTATTTGTGTTTATCCAAATATTCCCATGTGGATATAAGGAATTGCACTCTAGCAAATGGGAAAAGGTTCAGGAGCCAAACACGAATGAGAGTTCGTGTAGTTTTGCCATCCTTTTGTTGAAGGAGTGCAGACCAACAGCGGTTCACCTCATAGTCCACAGATCAAAGGAGTCATTTGTGTTTATAAACGTAGATTACCGGGTACCCCCTTTGTCGTCCCCACATGAAATCGAATAACAAGAGCTTCACTGTGCATGTAAAATGTTGCAAATTGAAGCCCCCGTAATTAATTTCCCTATCTTTGCCTCTATGCAGCGACACAACTGAGCTTGCTGTGTTTGGTGTCTCGCGACATGTGCCGAGAGATCCTGGAATACATGATCATACCGTCCACGTGCAACAGGCTACACTTCGACATGTCCCACTTGGGGACTGAGCCAAGTAGCTCAGTAAAAGTATTTGATCGCGACAGGACGTTGGGTGAGCTATGCCAAGGATGATGTATGTCTATTTATGATTACATTATTGCAAGTGTTTTCTTCTGGGTGATGCCACGTTGTTGAGCGTTTATTCTGCCCTCAAACCTATGCCATGCACAACTCTTTGGGATGCCCTCAGAATTAATTCTAAACACACGGCTTAACCCATAAGACCACACGTTGATTACGAATGGCTGGGAAAATATGCGTGTGATATTTCATGATTATTTATTTCTCCATTTTCAATTCTATGTTGTCACTTTCAGCCATTTTCCGTTACCAGTTTATTTCACTTGCTATCAGTTTATAGGTGATTCATACACATAAACTAAGTGTTACTCACTTGAATGATTAACTACCTTGGAACCCATTCACACTCCATCCTGTGAGTGGCAGCACTCAGTCACTGATCATTGGGCTGCAACCGAAAGTGGGTTTATGGAAGATGTCGTTGTATATGACATGTGCTATTCTGAAGATATTAGATCTTCTAATGTCAGAACAAATCTTCGGTAAGCCCTTAACGTGTTACCTCCCACAATGCTTAGATAAAATACACATTTTTATTTATAAACCAACTGATGCGTATGTGTATAATAAAAATATCATTATGTACATACATCCATAAAAGTAAAAATGAGTCTCAAGACTATTTTTCAGGAGGGTCCTGCATTGGAATGTTTGGGAAATTCCATTAATGAGTGTTTTGGCTTCTTGTGGGAGGAAACGAGAGTACTAGGAGAAACCCCATCAAGTATATGAGACGGTAACACAGAATGCTTCGCACAATATA